TCCTTTCCTTTCCTTTCCTTTCCTTTCCTTTCCTTTCCTTTCCTTTCTTTGCTTCCTCCCGTCCTTCCTTTCCTTCTTTCTTTCTTGTTTTCCTTCCTTCTTTCCTTCCTTCTTTTTCTCTTCTCTTCCCTTCCCTTCCCCCTTTTTTCTCCCCTCCCCCCTCTCTCTCTTCCCCTCTCCTTTCAGAAGATGGTGGGAGCAGATCTCGCCTCCAACAACAGAGGGCTCCAGGGGCCACAGCAGAAAAGGCCCTTCTGCTCAACCCAGCCAGCCAAAATTCCTTAACAGCCAGGGGTCTGCAGGAAGCCCCTTCCTGTGGAACAAGTGGGATCGGCTAAACTCATTGAGGGGTGTGTGTGTGTGTGAGAGAGAGACACCTCCTGAAATACCTTAATTGATGGCTGCCCCCTCCTTTGTGACACAAGACGGCCCCCCTATTTCCATTCCCCCACTCCCTTGTGCAACCTCTTTGCGTATCTGCACACAACCTCCTACCCTCCTTCCAGAGGCAACCTCTGCGTGTCCTGTAAGGGGTTTGTAACCCCGAAAAGACACACACACCCCTCCCTGTTTCATTTGTTCACCCCTCTCTGCCTTGCACAGCGGAGGTGAGCCGCTCTTGCGGATGCCTTTGTGCTTTTTGTAATAAGGCTGGCAATGAGACCATCTTCCTCCTTCTTCCCAGATCTTTGTGCGAGGAAGCTTGCAAGGGGGCCTCCAGGAATGGCCCCCAATTGCCTGTAATGGCCCTCCCCCTCCTATTAGAACACCTTCTTCCTGATGAACTTCTCCCTTTTCATCTCTCTTTCTCCCCCCTCTCTTTCTCTCATTCTTTCTTTCTCTTTCTCTCTCTCCCCCTCTTTCTCTTTCTCTCACTCTCTCTCTCTCTCTCTCTCTTTCTCACCCTCTCTCTTTCTCTTTCTCTCTCTCTCTCTTCTCTCTCCCCTTCTCTCTCTCTCTCTCTCTTTCTCTCTCTCTATCTTTCTCTCTCTTCTTTCTCTCTCTCTCCCCCTCTCTTTCTCTTTCTCTCTCTCTTTCTCTCTTCTTTCTCTCTCTCTCTCTCGTCCTCTCTCTTTCTCTCTCTCTCTCTCTCTTTCTCTCTCTCTCTCTTTTTCTCTCTCTCTCTCTTTCTTCTTTCTCTCTCTCCCCCTCTCTCTTTCTCTTTCTCTCTCTCTCTTCTTTCTCTCTCCCCCTCTCTCTCTTTCTTTCTCTCTCTCCCTCTCTCTTTCTCTTTCTCTCTCTCTCTCCCCCTCCCTCCCTCTCTCTCTCTCTCTCTCTTTTATTCTTCCTTGGGTGCCTCTCCCTCTTCCCAAAGCTCCTTTGTGGCTATCCTTCGCTCACCTTGTCATCCGCTGGGGTTTTTTTTGTGTTTTTTTCCACGATCCTTTATTGTCTGGGCTTTTTTCTCTCTCTCTCCACTCTCTATTAACCATCTTTGCTGCAAGAAGGCGAAGGCTGTAGGCTTCTGACCTTTAAGCGAGCTGCAATTACAGCCAAGGCTTTGCATTCTTTGTCTGGGGAAATGGCTTCTCTGATCACCCTAATAGCCAAGCCTAGCGGGGGAGATTCGAGCCACTCTTCCATCAGCAGGAGGGGCGGGGGGGCAGGGCGGGGGAGAGAAGAAAAAAAAACACCACCTCTCCTTCTTATGTCATTTCTCCCCACCCCGAGATAAATCTGGGACTCTGGACTCTGTTCCACGGGAGGTAGACAAGCTGCCAAGATGCTTCCCTGGGACTTCGGAAAAATGACATTTGAGAGTCTGATGTTGTTTCGGGGAGCGTCCCAGTTTGAGAAACCCCACAGCCCCAGAGCATACAGAATACAGAGTGCAGGAAGGGACCTTTGGAGGTCTTCTAGTCCAACCCCACCCACCCCCTCCAAAACAGGAGACAGCTTCTGTCATGCCCCTGATGGAGACTGACTCTGAGCAGTCAGAGGAGGACCCCAGGCCCATCCCCTATCCATCCTAGGGCAGGCAGGGAGGAGAGGATCAGGGTAAAACGTGGTCTACTCGGGAGGAGAGAGTCATGATCCTCCTTCCTCTTCCTCTCCTATCACCTTTTTATCTCCTTCTCCTTCTCCTCATACGTACCTCCGCTTTCTGTGGAATCTATCCGTATCTGTCTGTCTTTCAACTCATACTTCTTCTCCTTCCTCTTCTTCTTCTTCCTCTTCCTCTCCTCCTCCTCCTCCTCCTCCTCCTCCTCCTCCTCTTATCACCTTTTTAAACTGCAAATCGTATCTACCTGTATTATCTTCCCCTCTTTACCTTTCTACGCTTGAACCTGCCTTCTCTTGGCGTGCTCTTCACCTTATTCCTGCTTTCCCTTGAAGCTTTATGAAGCTGTTTCCCTCAGCAATTTTCTCCCCCCCCCCCCCCCCCCCCCCCCCTGTAGGGACCTTGCTGCCCGAAACTGCCTGGTAGGAGAGAACCACCTGGTGAAGGTAGCTGATTTTGGCTTAAGCAGATTGATGACTGGTGATACTTACACCGCCCACGCTGGAGCCAAGTTCCCTATCAAGTGGACTGCGCCGGAAAGCCTCGCTTATAACAAGTTCTCCATCAAATCGGATGTCTGGGGTAAGGATACAGAATAAGAGAGTTGGGAGGGGACCCTGGAGGTCTTCTAGTCCTTCCTCAAGCAGGAGATCTTGTACCTGTGGGGTGATGGTGAGCCTGTGGCACGCGGAGCCATTTGTGTGGACACACGAGCCCCAGCCAAACTTACCTCGCGGCATGGGTGCACCTCCCAGCCGATTTTCGGCCTCCCAGAGGCTCGAGGGAAGCCTCTGCGGCCTTTGGAGGCTGAAAAACAGGCCCGTTCTGTCACCGGAAATGATGAAACGGGCCCATTTTTCGGCCTCCAAAGGCTATGGAAATTCTCAGTCAGCCAGGTCATGACGTCCCAAAGATTTTTTTAAAAAAAACACCAAGAAAATCCAGTTGCCTCCTGAAAAAAGCACTTTTTTTTAGTCCTAAGTACCATTTTCCAGAACTGTTGCAACTTTGAACGGTCGGTAAAATGAACGATTATAAGTCAAGGACTCATAGGTTTCCCCAGTGTGCAAATGTGCCCAGCTCGAATCAAATCCATCTTAACAAGCTCTTTGCACGTGGTTATTTTTCCAGCGGATGCTTTTTTTTAAAAAAAATAATAATAATAATTCCGGTCTTGGCCTTTTTCAAACCAATATTTCTCTCAGCTTGATGAACCCCTTCGCTCTACTCATCGTGCCCTGAAAAAGGATGGGGTTGTTGTATCCAATTACACAACCACGCACGCATTTCTCTAAATCCCAGTCGGGGTTGAAGAGAGAACAAAGGAGTGAAAAGTTTGGGCTTTGCTTTTTTGCAATTTTGTAAAAAGCAGCTTCCTTCGAGCAGAAAAAGCGAGTTCTTGTTGTATTTTCACCTTTAGATTTCCTTCTCCTTTCTGACTTAGCAGTATATTTCTTCCCATCCTCTGCTGCCTGGGGGGGGGGGGGGCGGAAAAAGGGGTGGTTTTTTATTTATAATGCAAGGTGAAGGGTTTTTTTTGTTTTCCAAGCCCAGCAACTCCTTTCTCTTCGGTTAGGTGGGCTGGGCCAAAGCAAAGAGAGATACGTTGGAGATTTTGATATTTATCAAATATGCCTCCGTGCCTTCGAGGATCTGAGGAGACAATTCCCCCCTCCCCAACCTCTCTGTTTTAGCGAGATCCTCTTCAGAAGCATCCTTTCCCTGCTTAATATTCTCTGTAAAAACAAAAAACAATGTTGGCTTGAGTCATCCTTAAACCGTGATCTCACCTCTCCGCTGGGAGTTTAAAAGAGACGGTTAGCTGATGAGGTCTTCCTTCATTCTGTCTTCTGGAGACCAACCTGGGAAGCTGCTGGAGAGCAGCTAATGTACGGGGAGAAGAGAATATTTTAGCTCAAGGTTAAACCCAACTAGGTAACATGATCAGTGCTGGAAAGGAGTGGGGTTTGTGGAGAAGAGGAGGAGGTGGAGGAGGTTGTTGACAGTGGGGTTGTTGTTTCTTTTCTTGCAGATGTTTTCATGACCCAACTAAGTAACATCATCAGTGCTAGAAGGGAGTGGAGTATGTGGAATGGAGGAGAAGGAGAAGGGGGGGGAAAGGATTATGGGGTCCTTAGTGCTCTCTGAGCTAGGTAGTTTTCTTGCAGACGTTTCATGACCCAACTAAGTAACATCATTGGTGCTAGAAGGGAGTGAGGTTGGCTCTCTGCTTATATACTGTCAGTGGTTCCTTGATTAGGTTGGTGGTTATTCCTAGCTTGTTTATTTGTGTTGCTAATGTTGATGATGTTACCTACTTTGGTGATGAAATGTCTGCAAGAAAGCCACCAAACTCAGGGCTACTCTACATAAACAGGGAGCAAACCCCACACTCACTAGCACTGATGTTACCTAGTTGGGTAATGAAACGTCTGCAAAGATACTACCAAACTCAGAGAGCACCAAGGAGCCCACTGTCCTTGTTCACCTCTTCCTCCTCCTCCTCCTCTCCACAAACCCCACTCCTTTCCAGCACTGATGATGTTACCTAGTCGGGTCATGAAATGTCTGCAAGTTACTAACGTCCCCAACTGCCGGCCTTATTAGGTGGACCAGCCAAGAAACCAGCTCTATGGGAAGTTAAAACTTGCCTTCATTGGGATGCGTCAAACTGCATGCAAACTGAGATGCGGTGCTCCGAATCTGCTGCCTCTCTTGATTCTCCCTGTCCTCCCTCACAGCTTTTGGGGTCTTGCTTTGGGAAATTGCCACCTACGGCATGTCCCCCTACCCTGGGATTGACCTGTCGCAGGTGTACGAGCTTTTGGAGAAGGACTATCGCATGGAACGGCCAGAGGGCTGCCCGGAAAAGGTCTACGAGCTCATGAGAGAATGTGAGTTTGCGCCCTGCTGCTGCCTGGGTTGATTTTCCTTTTCTTTTAAGGTTGGGGAAGCCACAGTGCACTTTTCGGTCTGGAGGTGACACCCCTTAAGGGAAGGGAAGGGAAGGGAAGGGGCACCAGTTCACCAGTTGCTCATCTTCTCTTTAGGCTGGCAGTGGATCGCTTCAGAGAGGCCGTCCTTTGCCGAAATCCACCAAGCCTTTGAGACGATGTTTCAGGAATCCAGCATTTCAGATGGTGGGTGCCTCCAGATTCTTTCTTTCTTTCTTTCTTTCTTTCTTTCTTTCTTTCTTTCTTTCTTTCTTTCTTTCTCTCTCTCTCTCTCTCTCTCTCTCTCTCTCTCTCTTTTTCTTCTTTCTCTTTCTCTCTCCCTGCTTCCTTCCCACCTTTCTTCCTAACTTCCTCCTTCCCTCTCTCCCTTATAGTAGACTCCTTCCTTCCTTCCCTCCCTCCTTCCTTCTGAGTAGATTACCAGGATTCTCTTAACGACTGTTGTTGCCAACTTGCAGCGATTCAGTTAACAACGGTGGCACGAAATGGGGAAAACTCACTGAACGGCTGTTTCGTTTAACGATGGAAATTGTGGTCCCAGTCAGGGCTGTAAGGCCAGGGCGGCCTGTAATGTGGTTTTTCTCAAGACGGAAAGACAGCCCAGCAAGCCAAATATTATTCAGGTAGAGGATTTCTTCCCAGGTTTGTTTAGCTTACAAGTGGAGATGTCGGGATACTTATTTTGGCCCTTTCTGCACTCAGAATAAACACTCAATTAATGTCGTGGCATCTCCACCCACACATGCAGCTCTTCTGCTCTGTGGTGGCTTTTTTTCCTCCTTAAGGAGGGGAGAAAGCTGGCTGTCTCGACTGAAAAAAAGACAGAAAGAGAGGGGAGGGAGGCAGGGAAGGAAGGAAGGGAGGGAGGGAGGGAGGGAGGAAGGAAGGAAGGAAGGAAGGAAGGAAGGAAGGAAGGAAGGAAGGAAGGAGTCTACTAGGAAGGAAGGAAGGAAGGAAGGAAGGAAGGAAGGAAGGAAGGAAGGAAGGAAGGAAGGAAGGATTTCCCCTGATTTTTCTCTTCGGTCTCTTCCTTTCCTTTCCAGAAGTGGAAAAGGAACTGGGGAAGAAAATGGTGAAAAGCACGGCCAACCCATTTTTGCAAGCTCCAGAGCTGCCCACAAAAACCAGGTCGTCTCGAAAAATGGCGGAATGGAAGGAAGTCGAGAGCTCAGAGGTGATGCCTGCCAAAATCCCAGCAGAACCTGGTAAGTTTAATTCTTCTTTACCATAACTGGGTACTGTCGTAAGGGTGGGCAACCCACACAGTACCATGACAGTTGGGGGATTGTGGGAGTTGAAGTCCACACTTTAAGAGTATTGTATTAGGTGCAAGCGATCAGATCCACAGCTACAGGATTCAAGCTCACTACTTTAGTGTATTTTCCCTTTAATACAGGGAGGCCTTGACTTACAATCATTCATTTAATGACCAAAGTTATAACAATGCTGAAGAAAAAAAAAGACTTAGGGCCATTAACAACGATTGCAATTATGGTCATGTGATAAAATTTCATATGTTTGGCAACGGACTCGTATTTATGACGGTTGCAGTGTCCCAGGGGGTCATGTGGTCATCTTTTGCAACCTTCTGACCAGCTGTTGTGGTTAGCCGGCAGCAGGTGCAGACAGCTGTGGAGAGCAAGGACTCAGATGAGGGGCCAGGACCATTGGGGGGGGGTGTGGACTGCTGCCTTCAGAGATTGTGGGGGCTGGCAGCAGCGATGAGCCTGTGGTAAGTGCGTGTGCGCGCAGGGCTGCTTGCAGGAAAGAGCAGCTGCAGCAGCACAGGTGACTCAGGAGTAAAGCTGCAAGGTAATGGCCCCTCCTTCAAGGAGATAAAAGCCAGCTGTGAATCGGACGTTCTTTGCAGGAAGCAAAGACGTTTTGAAACTCAGCCCCGTGGACATTACAGTGTCTTAAGTTGGTATTTGAAGACTCTCGTGTTTTGTGAAATATTTCTTATCTGTGATTCTTGGCAGCCTCGCACAGTTTGGACAAGGCTCGTGCTTATCAAAGTTAATTAGTTTGCAGCAGCCTTTTAACTGGGGATTCGTAAGAATCATTAAAAGGTTTCTGTTCCCTTTGGTTCATGTTTGTTTTATTGGAAAAGGGTCAGAGGGTCAGAACACCAGCAAAGTTAATGGGGAAGCCAGATTCACTTAACGGCCGAGTCACTAACTTAGCAGCTGAAGTGATTCAGTTAAGCACCGTGGCGAGGAAGGTCACAAAATGGAGCAAAACTCACTTTGCAACCGTCTCGCTTTAGCGATGGAAGTTCTGGGCTCGATGGGGGTCATACATTGAGGACAACCTGTGCAGCAACCTTGCCAAGCTGCTTGCAATTCTCCCTGGGAATCGATAGATCAGGTTCCATGGAACTTAGAGAGGGTCAGTTCTGGATCTTTTGTGACTCCACCACGATTCAAGATTAATTCCCCACTTGATACCCCTTCCCTGTCTGTTTCACATCTCGTGTCAATATCTATCTTTTTTTTTTTTTGGCAGAATCTACGCAGCACGAACCGGCTGTGTCCCCTGTACTGCCACGGAAGGAAAGGACTGCAGCCGAGGGGAGCTTAAACGAAGACGACCGTTTGATCCCCAAAGACAAAAAGACCAATCTTTTTAGTGCTCTGATCAAGAAGAAAAAGAAAACGGCGCCCACCCCTCCGAAGCGGAGTAGTTCGTTCCGGGAAGCGGAGGGCCACCTGGAGCATAAAGGAGGAGGAGGGGAGGACGAAACCAAAGAGAGCAACAATGGGGGTTTGCTCACACATCCTGCTGATTTAGAGGACCGTTCCAGGTTCCCCAACCCCAGCAACGAGGCCGCCGGAGTCGCCAACGGGACTGGGACCTCCGGTTTGTTGACGCCGAACGTTTGGAAAAAATCAGGGTCCTCAGCCAGTAATCGCCCGGGTCCCAATGAAGAGGACGGCGGTTCGATCTCCAGCAAGCGTTTCCTGCGTTCTTGCTCGGCCTCTTGCGTTCCCCACGGGGCCAGGGACACCGAGTGGAAGTCGGTCACCCTCCCTCGGAACCCGCAGTCTATGGGGCACCAGTTTGACTCGTCCACCTTCGGGGGCCACAAGAGCGAAAAGCCCGCCCTGCCTCGGAAGCGAGCCAGTGAGGTAAAGGCTGATCTGGTCAGCAGGGGGATGGTCACCTCAGGTCCTCGGCTGCTGAAGAAGAACGAGGAGATGCTGGAAGAGACTTCCAAAGAGACCGAGTGTACCGCGGGGTCCAGCCCGCCCACCCTCACCCCTAAACTCACCCAGAGGCAGTCTTTGCTTCCTTCTGCTTGTGGGGCTCCATTGGTGGAGCAGGCCCCAGGAGGCAAAGCCAGCTTGGGCATCTTTGCTGGCAAAGTCCTGGGCGAGGAGTCCCGTCTACGAAAGATGAAGCCAGCTCTAGAGAAGGACAAAGGGAAGCTCTCGAAGCTCAAACCTGCCCCGCCGCCTCCAGTCTTGAACTTAGCCAAAAATAGCAAGGGGGGTCTCGGGCCCAGCCATGAAGGACCAGAAGGGCCCCTGGTCAAGAGCAAGCAGGCAGCAATGGCTGCGGAGCCCGTAAATACTGAGACTCTCAAATCCATTGAGGGAAGCAAAAAGCCACTGATGACCTCCGTACCAAAGTCTCCCTCGTCCGCCAAATTGCTCTTCAGCTCCCCTTCTCCGTCGCCCCCCACCGTCTCGTCAGCTCTGGCGGCAGACCAACCTCTATCCACGGCCTTCATCCCCCTCATTTCCACCCGGGTGTCCCTGAGGAAGACCCGCCAACCTCCCGAGAAGATAGCGAGCGGCACCGTCACGAAAGGGACCGTCCTGGAGAGCTCTGATACCCTGCGGACCGCCATCAACAAGAACTCGGAGCAGATGGTCAGCCACAGCGCCGTCCTGGAAGCGGGCAAGAACCTGTACACCTTCTGCGTCAGCTACGTGGACTCGATCCAGCAGATGCGGAATAAGTTTGCTTTCCGAGAGGCCATCAATAAACTGGAGAACAGCCTCCGAGAGCTTCAAATCTGCCCTGCCACGGTTGGTGGAGGTCCAGCCGCCACCCCAGATTTTAGCAAGTTGCTCGGCTCAGTCAAAGAAATCAGCGACATTGTCCAGAGGTAGCAGAAGAGGGGAGATAATCGGTGACCCACGTTAGATGGCGCCGACCCAATATATTTTTGGTTTCTGGGACAGAACAATGGACCTCACACTTCAGAGAGACAACACACAGACTTAGCCATGTGGACTGTATCTTAGTTGTCCTCTGGGGCTATCCAAGACTCTCAACTTTGAGCCTTCCAGGTGTTGCGTTGCTTGGATTGCTCTCACCCCTCAGGATACGCTCGTCCATCACTCCTCACAACCATCTTGTGAAACAAGAACCTCTCCCCCTACACCTACCTGCCCCCTGCCCCCCAAATCCATCTTCCTCATCTGGAATTTCCCTCGGTTTGCTTCTTAACTCGGGGACATCCAAATCTTGTGAAGCTTAAACTCACCTTAACGTTGCATCATTTGGGATGTTCCAATTAAGGCTTTGCTTGCTTTCAGTGTGAGCTTGGTGTTAAAAGGGTCGCTTGTCTAGACCAAATTGATTGCAGGGATCTCTCTCGGTGGCTTCCCTTAGCCCTCTTTGCACATTGTCAGGTTCGCGAAAGACCAGGTTCGCGCGGGAAGGTTCAGTTGAGCTACTCTATTGCTAAAAGCCTGTGTGCAGGAATCTTCTCAATACTTGCTAGGAGTTAGATAAGGGTCAAAGGAATTCAAGGGAGGTTGGACTGAGTACATGGGGATTCTAGGCTGATGCCTCTCTTCACTCCACCCCCCC